CATGTTCCATTCTCCCATCAAAATGGGAGAAGAGAGAGAGGGAAGGAGAGGAAGGAAGAGCAGCACTGCAGTACGTATAGTTTCATGATTTTCTTTTTTCCTGACTAATGAAGAGAGAGAGTCTGACTTTCTCAACCACAGTACTAAGGCTGAAGTTGTTGCTAAAATCAGCCTAAAAGGCGGTATTTCAAAATGAAACAAAAAATAAGCAGCCAAAAGGCATGGAAACAGTAATTCCCCTTGTCCTCCCTATGTTCATCCTGAGGACAATTTCCGATATTACTCTTTATAAAGAAACCAAACAAGAGCATGAATACCGTTATGCTTCCCATGCCTTGAATAATTCGCCTGACATACAGTACAATCCTCTGTGGCCCTTCTGCTGCTGAGGGTTCTGTAAAGTTTCTCTCAGGTAATGATTCAGGAGCAAACTGTACAATACCATTAGGATCACCAAACTTCTGTATCTATAAAGAAGCAAACAACAACAACAAAAAAAATAAAAATATAGAATGAGATTTTCATTGCTAGGTGCAAGACATATTTTGTTAAGTCTTTTTATTGAGTTTTCTCCTCAAAAATATACAAGAGTACAGTAGCAATTAGAACAGAGACTGTTATGAAGGAAAAGCAAACAGTAGGTAGAACCACCAAGGTCTCAAAAAGGAGTGACATGAAGCACTTGCACACGCACACACACACACACACACAGCAAGCCCATGGACTAAATCTGTGGATGACTTGCTTTTTTGTGAGAGATTCTAGAGGCATAGATGAAGAAGGATGAGTGGGTTATAAATCAAACGTATCAATAATATGATGCTATCAATAAAGATACAGAGCTTAAGAGCTCAAGAGAAATGTTATTTGGAAATAAATGTAGGCAATGACAATGATTCTGACTACTCAGCTTTAAACAACTCGCAAACTTTAAACAATCCAGACACACTTAAAAAGGATTTTGAAAGTATTTGGAAAACACATGCTGGGGAAATAGATTCTAAAAGCAGAGAAAGCATGAATGTCCTCTTTTCATTTTTTTCAGTGCTGGACAAGAAAGAAAAGGACAGGGTTCTATTTACAATGTATTGTGTAAGCACCCTTATTAAAGGATATTAATAGAGGAAATGTTCAGGTAACTTTGGATGGCGTATAGAAGTTTTTCTAACATTACCAATTTGCAAACAGCCTCTGGGATAGAGCTTGTGCACACGTATCTATGTGAAATACTAGCTGCAGCAACAAGAATTCATGATAAATTGACTTAAAAATGAGTGTTCCTTTGAAAGAAATTCTCTGAAATATCTAGACACCCAATAATAACCAACATATCTCCTATTTATCAAGGCAGTATTTATAGATTCATATGCTAAGGAGTCTGTGAAAACAGCACCCAATTCCTATTCATAGGAAAGATGTGAGGTTTTTTGCTGCTTTTTTCATATGTTCTTACTAGCATTTCCTTTGTTTCAATACCTCTCAAGCAAGTAATTCTCAACAGCTCCCTCTGGTTTCTCCCACATATTTCTGCAATTCCCCCCTCTTCGTATATCTTACTCTGTTATAGCCAGATTTTCTCATTTTTATATATCGGCTGGAGAAGAATATGGCAAAGAAAGGATGAAGGAACAAGAACCCAAATTCATTCCCTCTCTGAAGAGAACCATGAACATGTGTAAGAAGGAAGGCCAAGTCAGGGCTTCCATACCATTTTTAAAGAAAGATTCTTAGTGTTTATTTTTCATAACTGAAGCTATAACAACACTCTTGAAAAGAGTACACAGAAATAGAAAGCCAAATTATTAACTATGCAGTCACATTCATGCTTAACTGCTTTACAGAATAATTATCAACAGAGATGTGGGAAGAAGGAGAAAGGAATGAAACAATGACTTACTATTAGTGTAATGTTGGTTGCCTTCGAATCTATTTCTGTTTCACCTTTCACAAGGTGCAGTCTAATAATGAAGATTTCCTGAACTTCAACTTCTTCGTGGGGATAGATTTGCAGATTAATAGCTCTCAGACCTCCTTCTCCTTCTCTAAAATAGAATGATCCATTCACAGGGTCACCAATGTCACTATTCAGGGGAGATAAAACCTCTTCTGCATTGGGTCCTAAAATGTCCCAATTAATCTGTGGAAGATATTGTTTTCAAATTTAGAGTAACAATATATAAAAATAGTCTCCCAGAGGGAGAAATTATAAGGTAGCACAAGTGACATAAAATGCTGTTAGTCTTATATCAGATACAAGCGTTTACGTTAAGGTGACTAATGACGTTTGAATTTGTGTTGTTAAGACAGAATGTTCATAATGAATTGCATGTGGGAAATTTTGTAATCTTCTGGAAAAATAAATATGACAAATTGCAGAAGTAAACTGTGAAGAGTTAGCCAATTTACAAAATAATTATAAATTCTTGACATTAATAAACAGAAAAAAAAACATTTTAATTGTAAAGGGAAACACACAGGCCAGTTTCTATTTTGCAGCCTTTCAAAATTTGTTTTGCAAGGCTCCCCAAATCAGTATTCATGATCAAAATCATGCCTGCAAATGCTGTATAAAGACAGAAAAATACAGATATGTTCTGAATAACCTGAAATAAAAGACCTTAATTCCTCAAATAATCACTCATGTATTTTAGCCCAATTAAAAACTAGAATATTTCAAAAAAAATCCCACATATCAGATTTGCTTTTAAGAGGGTCAAGTTAAGTATTTTAAAATGATTTTGAACAATTTTATCTAATGACCTCTAGAAACAAAGCGAAAGAGCTGATGGTCTTTACTGCCAATTCTCTACTACTTTCCCAAGCCTGAAAGGCCTATGCTTTAAGCAAGGTGCTTATATCTATACCTTCCTCTATCAGCAGCTGTATAGCAGGCAGAAAAATCTATAAAATACATAGCAGAAAATTTATTGAAAAACTTCTAACCAACTTTAGAATTCATCTGAACTGAACGAAACTACTGGTGTGCTTCAAATTAATATGCATATGTATTTCAATAGTTTAAAACAAAGCACATGAAACCATAATACATGACAGGAAGAAAGCAGGGGCAGATAGAGAAAATAAAGGCAACAGTATTTGCTGTTATATTGCCACAATATGGAAAGATGCTTAAGAAAAACCCGCAATTATCCTTTTAGAAATAAATCACAAAAGTTTTTGAAGGCTAATGCTTTCTGAACTAGGAAAGCATTCAAAATCTTCTATAGTCAAGACCTACTTGTACATCTCCCAGCAATCTTCCAGTTCTTTCCAGCACCAGGGATATTGCCATGGGTGTATCAGGGTTTGGAAGAACAATTCGGCTGTGGTTGACAAATCGGACAACACCATGTGGGGAATCACTTTTAGCAATCGTCACCTGGCTCACCAGGTGGAGCCCAAGGACTGCTCCACCAGTGGCTCCTGTCAGCTGGATTTCAAATTGCTCAGCAAATTCACTGCACCAAAAAAAGCACGGAGATTTTTAGAATTAAAAAGGAATATATATATATATAAATTAATTGATTCTCCTCAGCCATAGTTTTAAAGGCATATTTTAAAGATAAACAGAAAATAAATCACAGATAAAGATATACAGCTATGTAAACACAGAATTGAAGGTTCCTTCTATTTGTAAGGATTGCAGTATCAGAAATTAAAATAATATTCTATATTCTGTGTTAAATAGCTCTATAAAAGGGGAGAAAACAGTTTAGTTTCTTATGACTCATGGCAATATTAGTCATACCTAATATTTCTGATAATTTGATGGGAAAAATGTCTCAATTTTGCATAGTTTTGTATAACCTATGACACCTATGAAATAATAAGAGGGTTTTTTCCTGCTAAAGCGAGACAATTTTTTAACACTGCAGTTAATGGTTTTCAATTCCAATTCTACGCAAGGTACAGATAACAGGCTAAAAGAGCATCACTCAAAAGTAAATTAGAAAGTAAATATCTGAAAAATTAATTACCTTTCTTCATCATCTATAATAGAGATATAGATAAAAGTCTGGTTCTGACCATGATGGAAAATGACAGAGTTGTTATGGATGAAATAGTCAACACCATTGGGAAGCGCAGTAATACTTCGAGAGAGAAAATCAGCCGTTACGAAGCCATAAGTTCCAAGCTTTCTCACGACAGGAATCATGATCACTCCAGCATCCTCTTCCACTGTAAAAGTAATTGAAAGCAACATATTTTATCTCAAAAATAGATTCAGAATATAACACATTGCGTAATGAACCCCACTTGTATCAATAAATCTAGGATTTTCTGAACTAACTATAAGCATAGTGATGCTTTTGAAGAGTGGATAACCTATGTCTAGTCCTTTTAATTACAACAAGTAGATTTGTTCCTTGTAGCATAGTTACATGCACTTCATTTAGTCATGGAAGAAAAGTTGTGGTTTATACTTTTAGGTTTTCCTTTTTCTAATTCCAATTTTTCAAGTTAATGGTTAATGTATGGTTAACTTTCAAGTTAACTTTCAAGTTAATGGTTAACTTTCTAACAATCAAATCCAAAATAGGAAAATTATTTTACCCCATTATTTGCATATCTCATTTGCATCAATGCCCACTATACCTTTAAAAAGATAACATTTCAGTGTGCTGAATGATGTCATGGCAACTTTTTTACCTTCAAAATTATTTAAAAGCAAGTTTGCAAGATTAGGTAGAAGACTAATCAATATGATATTTCAACAACATTCCAGATTGGTTAATTAAATGTTTAAAAACCTATCAGACTGCCACTATTTGAAAAAAAGCTTAAGACAGCAAAAAATATGCAAGAGCTGCCTTAAGTGGATCTAAAGTAATGAAATTATTACTGTGGGACAAATTCATTTCTCTTTTTTTTTCTTCTACTGTCTTCAAGGGAAATAGCAAGGTTTCAATTTCCATTTTCTGCAATAATATAAGGTTACACTAAACTTATAATTTTTTAATGATAATGAAACACAAAGAAATATCAAAACAAAATAATAGTTAGACTTTCCTGTAGAACTTTCCTCCTAGCAATATCAAAGTAGTTCCAAAATTCTAGTTTACTCTCCAAACAATTTAAAAATTTTCCACAGAACGAACTGATATAAAAATTCTCTTCTTATCATGACACACAAAGAAAAAAATCTTTCTTCTTGCCCTCCCCACAAGTCTATTGCCCCAAGTGCATGAGTAAATAAAATACTGCACTGTGTTTTTACTATTTTTATAGTGTCTGAAAGTATGAAGAAAAAAATGCTGAAGAAGATAACTCAAAAATTTATGCCTTAGCCACAGGCCTATCCATTAAACTCCACTGAAAATAAAAGTGAACTTACCTTCCAGGATGACATATTGAGCATCAAATTCTATGACACCTTCTGCATTGTCACTTTTCGCTATGACGACTCGTACTGTGGAGATATTTCCTACCACAGGGGGTTGATCCACCTGTAGCCCATTTTCTTTTATGACAAAATCAAATCCACTTGCAAGAACATAAGAAAAAGAAAAAAAAAAGTTTTTGTGGAAATATTAAGATGCATGTATCTGTAGATTGCCACTAATATACTATTCTGACAGTAAAAACTATACACTTTTTGTCTGTTTTTCACACTAACATATATGGAAAAGTGGCAAGTAGCACCTTATTCCAAAAAAGTTCATTTTCCACTTTCTTTTTGTATTTCTTATTTGACTTTAACGCAACTTGATAAACTCAAGGAGATCATTAATGTCATACTCTAAGCAAAGATGATAAACTGTCCATTAATAATGAGACCCTGTCCGTTAAAGAGACTGTGCTGTCAGAGAGAAAGCTTAAAATCTTGATTCATCAAAGACTTAAACTGGAGATAGCCAGCAAAAGTGGAATCCTTGCTGACATACGACACAGTTATAGAATCATAGAATGCTTAAGGTGGGAAGAGACCTCTAGAGATCATCTAGTCCAACCCCCCTGCACACGCAGGGTCACCTAGAGCACGTGGCACAGGGCTGCGTCCAAGCGGGTTTTGAACATCTCCAGAGAAGGAGACTCTACAACCTCTCTGGGCAGCCTGTTCCACTGCTCTGTCACCCTCACTGTCAAGAAATTTTTCCTTAAGTTCCTATGGAACTTTTGATGCTTCTGTTTCCAGCCGTTTCCTCCAGTTCTGTCAGTGGCCACCAGTGAAAGGAGGCCAGCACCATCCTCCTCACTGCCACCCTTGAGGTACTTATAGACACTGATCAGGTCCCCTCGCAGCCTTCTCTTCTCCAGGCAGAACAGGCCCAGCTCCCTCACCCTCTCCTCATAGGGCAGATGTTCCAGGCCCCTGATCATCCTTGTAGCCCTCCGTTGGACTCTCTCCACCAGTTCCACATCCCTCTTGTACTGTGGAGCCCAGAACTGGACACAATACTCC